CACACACACACACACACACACAACAGGCACACACACACACAAACACACACACACCAGGCACAAAAATCACACGGGAATTAGGGGGGGAAATGCAGCTAAAAGTAAGAAAAATAACCACGGACAGTCAACATTTTTTGTTTTTTTCATATCTGTATTCTATAATTCAAAATATTCGATTACTATTATTCACAGTAGGCCTAGTTTTGGGTAAAAGTTGGTAACATTAAATGTTTTTTAATGAAAAACAACTAAAACACACCGCTCTGAACACACTGAATGTTTTGTATATGTATTTTATTATACATTTAAAATATGCAGTCTTACACACATATATATATATATATATATATATATATATAATTTACAGATACCTTTATATTTGATGTTGATTTGTTTTATAATAATCAGCCATAAAATTTGGTCACACTTTAGTTTAGGGGCCAATTCTCACTATTAACTATGACTTTTGCCTCAATAAACTCCTAATTTGCTGCTCATTAATAGTTAGTAAGGTAGTTGTTAAGTTTAGGTATGAGGTAGGACTAAGGGATCTAAAATATGGTCAGAATAAGACATTAATATGTACTTTATAAGTACTTATAAACAGCCAATATGTCAGTAATATGCATGCTAATAAGCAACTAGTTAATAGTGAGAACTGGTTCCTACCGATAATTTAACTCAATTGATTCAGTTGAAGAAATAATAATATTTTGTTGACTATGGATTTTGAAAGGAAAAAAAAAAATGCTCCAGACATTAATTTCCATGGGGAAAATACTGACCATTAATAAAAAAAGTTTTACAAATCTCAGTGATCTACTCTTGCGTGCGAGCGGACGAGGCTCCTGTGTGAGACCCATCAGAGAGCTGTGCATTTATGCAAGCCCAAAAATGGAGTAATAAAGCGATGAGGAGGCTTGGGATGGAAACGGGAGATTGGGTGTCCTGGCAGCTGCCTGCAGCTGTCCTTCTCCAGTGTCTTTGTTTAAAACATGTCATTATGCCAAAGGGCGGCGCGAAGCAGGAACCTCCTGAAACAAGCCCAGTCGAGCTCCGCTTTCTCAACAAACGCCCCAAACAAACAACTCCCACCAGAGGAATATTAAAGAACCGTCCCATCATGCCTCTCTCTGTGTGTGTGTGTGTGTGTGTCTGTTTGTCTGGGAGTTTGTCCTCTCCACAACATAAAAAGTGTTGTATTTTTTTTTTAAAAAGGGAGAAGCTAAATACATTTTAACTGTACCGACTGACTACATCATTACATAATGAGCCATTTTCCATAATTGTTAGGATTTATTTAGAACTTCCCATTATAAGGATTAAGCCAAGATACACCTTAGACACCGGGCTGAGGCGTGTATTTTGGGAGTGTGAGGACTGTTACCTCATGGGCCAGGCTGGCGGTGGCGGGCAGCACTCCGTTCTCGTTGGGCAGACTGTCGTTTGGGGAGCTGCAGCCGGACACTGGAGTGCTGCTGCTGCTGGGGGACGAGTCTGAGAGCAACACACACAATCTGTCAGTCTAAACATGCGTGACACATCACTACATGCATTGAAGGGATAGTTCACCCAAAAATGAAGATTCTGTCATCATTTACTCACCCTCATGGTGTTCCAAACCCGTAAGACTTTTGTTCATCTTCAGAACACAAATGAAGATCATTTGAATGAAATCTCCATTGATACTCTACGCAACTACCACTTCAGTGCTTAAAAAGACATTGTAAAACTAATCCATATGAATCAAACAGTTTAGTCCAAATTTACTAAAGAGACTCGATCGCTTTATATGATGAACAGATTGAATTTAGGCTTTTATTCACATATAAAAAAATTGTAAACTGCTCAATTCATTTGGATTCGTTTTACGATCTCTTTATGAACTTTTTGAAGCCTCAAAGCGGTAGTTGCGTCGATTGTCAATAGAGGGACAGAAATCTCTCAGATTTCATAAAAATATCCTAATGTGTGTGTTCTGAAAGTCTTACATGTTTGGAACGACATGAAGGTGAGTAAATGATGAAAGTTTTAATTTTTGGGTGAACTATTCCTTAAAATTGTATGCTTATGCTAAATGAATGTAACTATGCAACAATGTTACTTTAACTGACAGAAGGTCTACATGAGAACATTTTGTTTAAATGTATAAAATATGTACAATTAAAAGAAAGAAAATACATAAACATTTCATTTTTACAAAATAATAATAAAAAAAAATAATAATAGTGTTGTCAAATGATTAATCGTGATTAATCGCATCCAAAATAAAAGTTTTTGTTTACATAATACATGTACAGTATATAGTATATATATATACAGTATACAGTATATATTTTGAAAATAGTTACATGTATATACTTTTATATATCTATATTCTTTTATTTTATATTATATATAAATATAACTCATATATAAACATAACATATTTTTCTTAAATATATACATGCATGTGTGTGTATTTATATATACATAATATATGTATGTATACTGTGTACATTAATTATGTAAACAAAAACTTTTATTTTGGATGCGATTAATCGTGATGAATAGTTTGACAGCACAACTATATAAGTATCTGTACATACAATATGACTACATCAAAAGAGTTCAATCATAACAATAAAAAGCAGAGGCAGCATGTTGTAGTTACCCAGCGTATCAGGGACGCGGTGTTTGACGGCGGGCGGCGCGCTCTCTTTGCGGGTCAGCGGGCTCTTACGGGTGTTCAGGTGCTTCTTTAACTTATGCTTCACCTTCAGGTTGGGCTCTGAGGCTGCAACAACAACAAAACAACAACAGCGTAACCAAAAGGAAGTTTTCAGTCAGTTTGGGTCATTTAGTTAACTGTCAACAAGATTGTTTGCTGCACTTTTGCAGGTTCAGTTGTAGTTTATTTGTGCCACACGCCTGTGTTGATGTGTCATCAATGCGCTCTTTAAAAAGTAACAATTCACGATGACAAATAACAACCATGTGTATAAATGAAAATATGCAGTACCATCAATAAAATCGACATAACCACAACAAACAACCAGCATGTGTTTCATAGACAACCTACGGGCTGTAATAACCGCATGTCAACACCTGAGATTTAAACTGGATTGTTCCAGAGTCTACACAAATAACATAGTCACACACACACACAAAAAAAAGCCAGAAGACAATTAGGATGGGTAACTTTTTTTTCTCAGATTTTAGGGGAGATGCTTTAAAGTGCTGCTTCTCAGAGTGGGCATTAGCACACTGATAGCATGCTATGTTTAGCATGTTTGCTAACGTCTAACAGTAACTGTTGTATCTCTACATTTATTTTTTAGCTCAGTATAAAGAAACGTTTCAGGATTTGAGAACTTGATGAACCTCGATGTTTCTGCTTGATACGCAAAAACCAACAAGTACGTTTGAGCTTGCATTTAACATTTAATGAGCTCAATGTATGTGTTTAGCAATGTTTATATGTGAATAACGGCTAAATTAAAGCTTTTGTGTTTCTTCAGAAAAGTTGTATTACGCGTGTTTGCTTCATTTGGATTACTTTTACAATGTTTTCATAATTTTTTTGAAATTTCAAAGTTTAGGTGAAATTCAATTGTCTTTTTTTATTTCAACTGACAGAAATCTCTCAGGTTTCATTAAAACATATTTGTGCTTAGAAAACGAGGGTGAGTAAATTATGTCAGAATTGTCATTTTTGTGTGAACTATCCCTTTAAGACCAAGTATTCGACTGCTCATTGACATAACCCAACAATTAGTTGATTTACAGTAGATGTGGTTTTTGCAAGTCTATTGACCTGTAACTACTTACAGTATATGCAAACGTAGCATCTACTTCCTCTGTTTGATCACACAGTCACAGTTCTGTGCTTCTGTTGCTGGTTCAGAAAAGAAGGTGCTTCTGAAATGTCTTCGGTACTTCCTGCTAACTGTTTTTGTCATTGTAAAAACACTAGTTCTGGCAGCGGACGTGTTGAGAAATACAGAGTTCTGGCATGAAACTCTAGATGGTGCGATAGCTCTAACTCAATCTGACCTAACGACATCATTATCACATGGCACAGCTGATTGGTTCTCTCCTGTATCGGTAGCCAATGAGCTCGCTGCTCAACATTCAAATATATGACTAATGCTTGCCGTAGCAGCTGCAGCTTGCTTCAGAAACCCTCCACCTTCCCCAGCTCCACCTGTATAGATCTGCTACGAGGTGATTCATGTATGCTATATGGGGGTTATTTCATGTATGCTATATTTGCAGCAGCAGTATTTCTTACATGCTCACAGCAGCATGTTGTGGATGTATTGGCAGCAGCAAGTCTCGGTGTAGCAAGCAGATCTATTCCTCCAAGACCAAATACATTAACATTGTCATGTACATTACCATGCCAATCCATCCGAGAGTTGTCATGACAGAACTGTAATTCCACAGATGTGTACTTGCTCGTCTTTACCAGTAAATGACACGGCTCTGCACAGCATCATGTTAAACGCTTCCTCTTCTGACCATCGAGTACAAAGTGATCCTGACAGACAGCGCTGAACTGATATGAAGTGGACAGCTCAAGTATTTGGAAACTCTCTCGAGGACTACTTGAAAACTCGTTCTTCTGTAAAACGTTCTGTTCGATGCTGAAAACTGACTGATAAGAGTCACAATTGAACTTTTTCTGATGGCTGCTTATTGTCAAAATGAAAAACGTCTCCAGAATCATATTTTGGTCCCTATGCGTATATGATTATGATTTATGCACTTTTTATCGTCCATGCAACTCAATCATTTAGTAAAGTAAAAGAATGGTTCTTCTGAACTAGCTGTGGGATTTGCATTATTGTATATGTCTAGCATTTATGTTTGTACTACTTGAATGAAACCTCAAAGTTTAATACTTGAGGCCTGTTCATATCAAAATGAATATTCAGTACAACAATTTTAATTGAAATTAACTTTAAATGCGTTTGTTTAGACTGACACGTAAAGGTGTTTTAATGTCTTTTCCGACACATAGCGAAGAAAACTGGCCAATCCATGAGCGCCTTTTTGTCACATGACCAGAGCTGAGGCTGTTACATAAAACTACAAATTGGTGGCGCACACAAACAGACTATTTCGCTGACAATGAATAACAGGAAGTATTTTTGTATTTTGGTGTTGCATCACGAATAAAAAATCTGAACGACTGTTTGACTTCCTTTTCTTTTCTTTGACTCCCTTTTGTGAACTTTTTGTGTTCTCTGTGCTGCTTTTTCTATAAGCGCCACCTACTGTCAGAGAGAGAATTTGCATTTGAATTATAATATTAAATTTTATTATTTTTATTTCTTTATTTCCTTTTCACTGACTGACTGACTGACTGTGATTTTTATTTTCATTTGATTCATGTTAATTAAATGTTATTCTTTTTATTTATTTCTTTTCCACCAACTGTCAGAGAGTAAACTTGCATTTTCTTTTCTTTTCTTTTCTTTTCTTTTCATTTTATTAATATTAATTTTATTATTTATTAAAAAAAATATATTTATTTTTCACTGACTGTCAGAGAGTGAATCTGCATTTTCATTTCATTTTATTAATATTCATTTTATTATTTTTATTTCTTTATTTCTTTTTCACCTACTGTCAGTGAGTGAATCGGCATTTTCATTCAGTCTGTCTGCCAATTTTTTTATTATTATTATTTACTTTATTTCTAAATTTGTGACTTACATTCAGAGAGTGAATTTGACAGGGGAGTGTCTTTCAGAGGTAAATGAGAAGTTACGCAAGGCCTTGTTAACAGAGTGCTGCCTGGAGGAAAGCGAGGCGCTGGGAGTTTGTCTGAATGGCCTCCACACTCATCCCGCCCGTTCTGTAGATGCTGATGAATGACCTGTCATGTGATGTTGTTTATATGCGTGTGTGACGGTGACATACTTGCTCGTCTCAGGGGTGGTTCGTCAGGCCCTTCGCTGAGAGCTGGTTTTGTGGAGGACAGGAGCGGCTGTACAGGAGCGCTGGGATTTGGAACCAACTCCCTGAGGGAACACAGAAGACCTTTATTTTAAGATCTGAAGAAAAGCATATACTTTTCATGTGTACTTTAACAGTTGTGGGTGGATATGAGAGCTGTTTCTAACCGGTAGGCAACGGACGGGCTGCTCAGAGGGTTGGAGTTGGTCCTCTCCAGCACCGCCTTCTGCTTCTTCAGAATCACTTGCGCCAGTTTCTGCTTCACCAACGCACTGGCAACAGCACCTGTCAACCAACACAACCAGCCAATTAAAAGCAAAAAAAGCAAAACATTCTCAGTTTTTGAATTTAATATTCTCAATTTAATATTTTCAGAGAGTGTGGCCCTCCATAAATACAACCAGCTAATGATATAATGCCAAACCACATTATTAAAAAAAGTGGCAATGCAAATATAGATCTTTTTCAATGACAAGTATACTAATATTGTTTTTAAATTCATTTTAATTTGAAATATTACTTTATAATATTAATTTTTTTTTGTTTAATTATTTTCTTTATTTTATGTTTGATTTTATTTTGCATCATGTTTATTTTTTATTTTATTTTATTTTATTTTAGTTTAGTTTAGTTTAGTTTAGTCCAGGACAAGGCCATTTTAAGTAACTAAAGTAAGGTTTAATATTTTTTAATTAATTTAAAATTTAAAATGTATTTATTTAATTTTTTTATTTTATTATAATTTTTTTAATTATTATTATAATTTTTATTATGTTATGTTATTTTAGTTTATTTTATATTTTTTAATTAATTTTAAATTTTAAATTAATTTTATTATTTTATTGTATTACGTTATGTTTATGTTATGTTATTTTTACTAGTTTATTTTATATTTTATTTTAGTTTAGTTTAGTCTATTTCAGTTTAGTTTAGTTTAGTTGCTCCTGAAATAGGCCATGTTAAGTAACTAAAGTAAGGCCAATTTTTTAAAAACAAGGCAAATCTGATATTACTAGTCACTGACCCAATTTTGTTTTAAAATGGCAGTTTTCTCCCACAGAAAAATGTCAGCGATGTTTCTATCTAGGGCCTGCATTGTGAGTGTGGTTGAGCTCTATTGTGGAGCTGTGCGGCTGAGGTTGCAGTGAGGTCGAGGGAAGAAACTGCATGTTGACTCAGTGCCTCCCTGTCCATCCAGAGCGGACTTTATGTGGCGGCTACATCATGCTGGCTCTAACCAATATGGTCAATATTGACAATCAGTTACTGTTTGCGCTGAGCGATTAATTTCTCTCACAACAGCCTTAGCATCAGCTGGGATTAAAAAAAAACTGCAGTGAATTATCACCGTGCGAGAGACACTTGTGCATCACCTACACACTTCTGATGTGGAAATGTATTTTTTAAGTGAGTAATTTATATTTTTTTGGACAAGAACAGCACTGATTGTTACAACAAATCACTATCTGCTTATCTGCACAGTTTATCTAATAGCAAATCTGGTGGCAGTAGGTTTCAGACTCCAGATGTTGATTAACTGTAACAGTGCAACACGATTCAACAGGATAAATTACTGCTCTCATTCAGTGAAAAATAAACAACAACAAAAGTGGTATTAATGTTTGCCAGCGTGACCAAGCGCTGCAGCATAACACAGCTCTGGAGACGCTCATGATCACAATGGAGCACTTCTACTGCACACACACACACACACACACACACACACACACAGTGCTGCTACGGACACGCAGAGGGCAAAAGCGCAAAACCCCTATCTATCTATCTATCTATCTATCTATCTATCTATCAATCTATCTAATACTATACTATAATATATGGACATAAAATATTGGGACAAACCTCTTGATTAGTCAATTTAGGTGTTTCAAGCAGACCCATAAAATCAAGCTCTAGCCATGCATTCTGCTTTTACAAACATCTGTGAAAAAAGGTCTTTCTGAGCTCAGTGAATTCAAGTGTGGTACTGTGATAGGATGACACATTTGCAATAAGTCAGTTTGTGAAATTTCATCCCTGCTAGATATTTCATCCCTGCTAGATATATTCCACGGTCAGCTGAAAGTGGTATTATTGGAAAATAGGGCTGGGCGATGTGCGCAAAAAAATTATCACAATTAAATTTTTCTGCCAATATCGATAATTGTGACGATCAATTTTAAATCTTTATTTTTTTTCAAGTTTAAAACAGATTTTTGCTGAAAAATGTAAGTTATACTGTCTATCTATCTATCGTTCTCTATCGTTCTATCTATCTATCTATCTATCTATCCATCCATCCATCCATCCATACGTCCGTCCGTCCGTCCGTCCGTCCGTCTATCATCTGTCTGTCTGTCTATATGTCTGTCTGTCTGTCTATCTGTGTGTCTATCATCTGTCTGTCTGTCTGTCTGTCTATCTGTCTATCTATCTATCTGTCCGTCCGTCTGTCTGTCTGTCTGTCTGTCTGTCTCTGTCTATATGTCTGTCTGTCTGTCTCTATCTATCTATCTATCTATCTATCTATCTGTCTGTCTGTCTGTCTATATGTGTGTCTGTCTGTCTGTCTGTCTGTCTATATGTGTGTCTATCATCTGTCTGTCTGTCTATATGTCTGTCTGTCTGTCTGTCTATCTATCTATCTATCTATATGTGTGTCTGTCTGTCTATCATCTGTCTGTCTGTCTATATGTCTGTCTGTCTGTCTGTCTGTCTATCTATCTATCTGTCTATCTATATGTGTGTCTGTCTGTCTGTCTATCATCTGTCTGTCTGTCTATATGTATGTCTGTCTGTCTGTCTGTCTGTCTATCTATGTGTGTGTGTGTGTGTGTCTGTCTGTCTGTCTGTCTATCTGTGTGTCTGTCTATCATCTGTATGTCTGTCTATCTGTGTGTCTGTCTGTCTGTCTATCATCTATCTATCTATCTATCTATCTATCTATCTGTCTGTCTGTCTGTCTGTCTGTCTATCTATCTATCTATCTGTGTGTCTGTCTGTCTGTCTATCATCTATCTATCTATCTATCTATCTATCTATCCATCTATCCTTCTATCTATGTTTTGAACATGGCACCAAGGTTTTTTGGTGATCCAGTACATCATAGAAATGTCACAGTAATATTTTAATTAACTTGGAGTAACTGGTAAATACATGCAGATATGTTATCTATTATTCTGTGCCATGAGATACATCACAGTACTATGGTTTCACCATCCATCCATTCATGTATGTCTGCAAAAAGCCCCATGGTATTGTATGGTATAGTATGGCACGATCTGTAATTGCTGTAACTGGCAGGTAACTAGCGTCTGTGAGACAGTAATTACCCTTTATAGAACAACAGGGTTCCCATGTTCAGTGCAGACTCCTCCCATGTGTTTTCAACCACAAAGTTTTGTTTTTACTCTCAGAGCTATTTCCTGAGGCAGCCGTGGCCCTGTTTCAGTTGAGCTACTATTAAAAGGGGCACTAGCACAATGGAAAACTCTTTTTCTCAGTCGATTTAGTACATTTCTTAAATCGACCGAAATTCTTGAAACTGCTCGTTCAAACTCCACAACACAACCTACTTGTGCACAGCACCTGTTCGATTCTTCTTAGTTGAAGAACTGTGACAAACTAAAATGTCAATCTCTTTCTTGGTGCTTAAGATGCCTATTAGTGACATTTGAGTGATCAATCATCCAAGTGCTTCATCTTAAAGGCATTTCATTCATGAAGACAAAAACAGAACCTCATATCTGTCTTGTTAATCAAAGTAACCCCAACCCTAAACTAGCATACTGTACTATGTTTGGTGACCACTAGTCATTCTTTTAGACATTCACTCTGTATTTGTTAAGTAAGTAGCTACATAGTAAGTCTGTGAACAGCAGTTATTTAAGGGTTATTGTGTGTGTGTCACTCACTCTGTTGACTCTTGTCCTTGTTTTTAAGTTGCTGTAGCTGTTGTTTCGCTAGTTCCTGGTCTCGTAGATGCTGCTCCATGTTATATGACTACAAAAAGAGGAGTTGACAGTCATAATTATTCATAACAATGCTGATTAGTTTATCAAGCTCATTAAGTGCCCAGTAAATACACATATATATTGGGTCTCATTCATGAAAAAAATTTGGTTAATAAATCTATTTGTTCAGGAATTTATTCTATTCATGAATTTAATCTATTTGTTCATCAATTTAGCAATAATTACAGATAAGCTGCTTTTAAACTCATTGTCCAGGTAAAAATTAGCTAATGCTAATGCTAATCTAATGCTAGGTGTTAGGGTACGAGGGGGTAAAGGCACACCTTAAGAAAAAATTTGCTTTTTACTGCGCCTAAAATGTATAATTGCACAAAACATATATACATTTGTATTGAATATTTATGGAGCAACAGATTTTGTGTGGAAATAAATCATACAAGTCATTTATTTTGTTTTAAAATCTTATAAATGTATGAGGTAGCAAGGCTTTGATATAAATACTTTAGCTAAAATAATGTTTTTTAATAATGTCTAAGTTAATACTCATTCAAAACAATCACTTTAGCAAAGTTTGTACTATTTTCTGCTAATTTTGGTAAATAAAATAATCAATTTTTGTTCAATAAATATGCTGTCATTAAAATATGTTAATATAAAAATATATTTGAAAGTACAGAAACAAAATAATTTTAAAAAGTAAAGATTCTGAATGCATTGAAGGAGATCCCATAATAATTTAATATAGATTTACAGCAGTAACAACAAATTATATTTTATTATATGATATGATTAATATCATGTTTTTAAATATGATGGTTTCATTCTAAACATGGTGATTATCTCTAATATGGACACCCAACATAATTTATGATATTTACCATCTGAATCTAACCATGTCATGTCAACAAATGGAAAAGTCAGCCATCTATTAATTATCATGTTAATTATTGTGCCTTTAGCCCCAACAGCAGGGGCGCTTTTTACCCCAAATACCATACTTTTACATATTCTTTCGTTATTTAAAAACTGTTGCTTTAAACAAAACTGAAAATCATTAAGAAGACCTTTGTCTCAAAATATATGCATTTTTTTCAATGATTCTCATTTGCTACTTAAATCTACAACATTTTTAAAAACATCAAATATTAGATCAAGTAAGCACAGAATCAACTTTGCGCTGTTGCGCGCGATCGCGTCAAGGATCAGACAAATATACACGTGCATCTTGAAAAGCGAATGTTTTGGAAAGTGCCACGCCACGTTTTTGTGCCATCTAGTGGTTTGGAGGAATATATCAAAGGCGCCTTTTACCCCGGGGCATCTTTAGCCCCGTTGTACCCTAACTAGGCTGTGGAATTGCTGTATACAGGTGTAAAACCAATTGGATAATCATCAGTCAAATAAACTAACCCTAACCATAAAATGTGTCCTATTGGGCTAAAATTGAAAAGAACTGTCCGAAAGAACCAGTTAGCAGAAAATAATCAGACTTCCCTGCTTGCCCAATGCTATGGATTACAGGTATTAATGTTGTAAATAATGTTCAGTTTCTTGCACAGACTGATGATTTTGTGCACTGTATTGCATGTGTTGTGGTGGTATGACAGGTGTCTTTGTCTCTGACTGCAGGGAGATCATGTGTGTGACATGTACCTGTATGTGCTGCAGCTGCTGCTGGCTGTACTGGGAACAGTGCTGTGGATTGAAGGGGCCGATCAGCAGAGGGGGGTGCAGAGGGGACAGGAAGACCGGGTTCGAACCCGGACGCACCAGACGCTCACCTACACGCAGGTCCATGGGGGCGGGGCCCGTGGGAGACGACACAGAGTCTTCTGGATGGACAGAGACACAGGGAAATTCATTATTAGAATGAAGAAAAAAAAAACTTCAGAAATAGAATACAAATATATGTGAAACTACAGTCAAAAATAATCATTCGAAAATATAGTAAAACTGTAACATTGTGAAATATTATTATAATTCAAAATAATTGTTTTCTAATTGAATATATTGTAAAATGTAATTTATTCCTGTGATCAAAGCTGAATTTTCAGCATCATTACTTCAGTCTTCAGTGTCACATGATCCTTCAGAAATCATTCTAATATGCTGATTTGCTGCTTTTATTGTTGTTAATATTTCTTATTATTATCAATACTGAAAACAGTTGTGCTGCTTCATATTTTGTGGAAATAACACTTTTTTTTCATGATTCTTTGTTTAATAGGAAGTTCAAAAGTACAGCATTTATCTGAAATAGAAATCTTTGTGAAATGTCTATGAAGTCTATTTTATGGGTGATATTTGTTTTATACGAGTGTCTTGCATTTTAGTATAATTCTCATTACATTCTATACCTATTTGTTTTTTTGTGATCCTAAAACAGGCTTCATTTTGTTTGTGTGTGTGCGTGTGTGAAATATTCTTCACAGCCTTAATAAAACTCATTAAAATATCATTACAGTTACTGAGCTTGTGATGACTTGCCCATGTGACAACTAGCCCCGGTCACTCACCCTACATCGTTTAGATTTAAGAATTTACGCTGTTTAAATCAATTGCAGGACATTTCCACTGGTGGAGAAGGCAGAAGAAAGCAGGTGAATATACAGAAAAAGAGAAAAGGGATGGAGAGAGAGAGGGAGAGAAGTGTGTATCAGCGCAAGCACATGTTCCAGCGTTTCCCTTACGGCACATTCCACAGTGATATGAAAGTCGGCCTGATTTCCATAACTTTTGCATGCTGCTTTAAGAATATTTGCATGGTACCAGTGACTCAATGGGACGGACTGCCTCACCCTCACACAGAGCAGACAGGAAAATCACAAAGCCGCCGTGTGCATGTATGTCGGTGCATATCTGGGGTCATGCTGGCTCCCTGCCCAGGTAAAACCAGAGCGCTTGACAGATTTCTCATCCGAGGAGTTAAAAGAACACTTCAGCCATTGACTTTTCAGTATTTCCCAATTCTTTCCCACTTATTTCCAACAAAGACTCCCAAAAATAGCTCTGTCTCCCACACTAGAGATCCAGTGCTTCAGAAACTGTGACTCATGCCCTTTTGACGCCTCAAAGCACAACTTACTATTGTATTTCTGTGAATTGTGACCGCTTTGTCGCCGTTATTCTGACACAAAAGTGACAGAACAAAACGGCTTTCTACAGCAGACCAATCAGCAGCGGCGAAAATGACTCACGACTGACTTCAACCGGCGAGGAACAATATGTACCTCTGAGCTGGTGGGTTATGCAAGAGGAAGAAACTGAGAAACAGAATAAGGGTGTACTCACACTAGGCACGGTTACCTTTAACCGAGCCCGAGTGCGATTATAAATAATTTGCAGCTTTACCTGCAAACTACATTTCCTGTTCATCAATAAGGTGAGAACCAGAGCCATTATAAACCTAAATATACTTGATTGAATGAAATTAATTGAAAAGTGTAGTGTAGTAGTAGTAATAGTATATGTTTGCGGTCGTAATGATGACAGTAGCGCACACAAAACAGTATTTGATCCGTGCTCCGGCACGGTTAGCGCTTACACTGCATGCGTACCGCGCCCGAGCCCAACCGAGGGGGGACGGCTAAACGAACCGTGCCCGAGCGCGGCACGGAGTGCTCACACTAGTCAAACGAAACGGGCTTTGGGGGTCAAACGCGCTCGGGCACGGTTCAAAACGCCTAGTGTGAGTACACCCTAAGAAATGAGATCAAAAGAGGCTAATAATGACTATAATAAATGTTTCTTGAGCAGCATATTAGAATGATTTCTGAAGGATCATGTGACACTGAAAACTGAGTAATGATGCTGAAAATTCAGCTTTGATCACAGGAATAAATTACATTTTAACATTCACAGAAAACACCTATTTTAAATGATTTTTTAAATTATATTAATTATAATTAAATTATATGGTTATTTTAAATCTAATGTCAAAAAATATGATTAAAGATGCATTAAAAATATGTATTTTTTCTGTTTATAATTTGTGTTAACAGAGTTAATGATATGTTAAAATCTATTGATATATTTAAGCCATTGTGGACCATTTTACATGTTTATTTTCTGAAAATTCTGAAAATTCAGCTTTCACGATAACAGGAATAAATTACATTAAGATATATTACAATAGAAAACTGGTATGTAAATGGGTCCTATTATGCTTTTTCACTTTTTCAACTTTAGTTAGTCTGTAATGTTGCTGTTTGAGCATAAAAAAGATCTGCAAAGTTACAAAGCTCAAAGTCCACTTCAAAAGGAGATATTTTATTGAACAGAAATGTCAAATGTCAAAAATATGATAAAACGTGTTTATAATTCATGCTGATGATATGTTAAAATCTATAAAAATCTGTTATATTTAAGCCATTGTGGACTATTTTATATGTTTGTTTTCTACTTTTCAACTGACTGCTGAAAATGCAGGTTTGCCATCACAGGAATAAATTACATACATATTAAAACAGAAAACGCTTATTGTAAATATATTTCTGATATAACAATATTGTCATATTACTGCTTTTACTGTATTTCTGATCAAAATATGCAGCCTTGGTGAGCATACGAGCATAAGTAATATTATCAAAAGAGGCAACATGATGTGGCATTTGAAGATTAAGATGAAAAACTGTACGGCCAAAGGTGACCCGCTGGAGTTGTTTACACGTCAAGGGATGTCCTGACATGTTCTGACACAGACCAGGATCTCCTCAGCCCCATTTTAGGATCTTGAAAGGGAGAGGAGGAACATCTTGGCACCGCAGCCCTGGATGCCAAACGTGTTTTGGGTTCCTGCTTCCCTAAGCTCTCAACATCCAGCATATTCCCACCCAGACCCAGTGTACACGATCCGCAGCGCTCCACCGTACTGCAGGAAATAACACGACTCCCACATTTATTTTTCCTCAGCATTCCCTTCCTGATAACACAACACGCACTATATTCCGCCCTGGATTATTCCAGCATTGCATGGCATTCCCAGAAATGACCTGTCGGCCCAGGCTTGACAGCTTCAGGAAAGGAACTCAAGGCGGAATTGAGCAATATGGTGTTTTCCGACCTTTGCAGTGCTACGGATATGAATAATCGTACAAAAAAAAAAAAAGTACTATACTACTATAACGCTACTTGAAGCGCCTTGTAAATCTATGAATATGGTAATCATTCAGTACCAAATACGTTTATAACACCTGTTATGATCATTTATAGTACAATAAATAAATGTAATATATAAATAAAACATGAATACATGTGTGTGTGTGTGTACATTGAGGCAAGCGGTGTGTGTTTGTATGCATGCATTTTTTTTTGTACTCCTACTCACAAAGGCAAACAATAGTGTAACTCTGAGCCAGCTCAACAGAAACAGGCCAACAAATACATTAATAAAAGTGACAGACAAGCAGATGTGCAGTGGAATGCACACAGGAATGTGTGTGTGTGTGTGTGTGTGTGATGGGACATCTTCCTTCAAAGCTGTGAGTGTCTGCAGGAAAATATGTGTAAGTATGAATCTGCTTCTAAGGAAACTGTGAGTTGGTGAATATAAGCGTGTGAGACCGACTACAAACTAAACTGGTTGTCTAATGGGAGAAATTTTTTTTTTTAAATTTAGTCTTCATGAACAAACACTTGAGTTCCAAAAATCATTCAAAAATCTGAGGTCAGTAAGGTTTGTTTTAAAAATAAAATTAAAATACTTTTATTAAGCAAGGATGCATTAAACTGATCAAATATGGCAGTAAAAACATTTATAATATTACAAAAGTTGTTTTTTTTGTCAGTCATCAAAGAGTCCTGAAAAAATACATCACGGTTTCCACAAAAGATTAAGCAGCACAGCTGTTTTCAACATTGAAAATAAATTCAGCATATTAGAAGGATCATGTGACACTGAAGACTGGAGTAATGATGCTGAAAATTCAGCTTTATATCACAGAAATAAATTACATTTTAAAATATATTCTAATAGAAAACAGTTATTTTAAATTGTAATAATATTTCACAATTTTGATATTCTAACTGAATTTCTACTCAAAGAAATGCAGCTTTGCTGAGCATAAGAGACATAAATAAGCAATAAAAAATCTTACAGACCCCAAACCTTTTATCATAGCATTTTTTCAAGTATTTTGGAATATTAAAATACCATGGTATTTCAATCTTAGATTTTTAGGGGTAATTGCTGGAAAGTGTTTAATTTCTTGAAATAAAAGCCGTCGCATTCGATCTAATATTGATGTTCTCACATAAAAAGCAGGTCTCGATAATATTCTATAAGTCTGATAGTTTATAAAGGAATAAATCACGGCGTATGAGCAATAGCAACACTAATAGTAATTATTAATAGTTGTGATACGCTAACCTAACTGTATTTTAGGACAAGGCACCATTTAAACTAGGCACATGTTTTCCTTAAATGATGTAGACTCTTGCTCAATATTTGACTGCAGTTAATTACTTCCTGTAGCTGCCTATTCAGTATGCAGTGAGGAAGAAATGCTGGCACGTCAGAGATCATTTTAGGTTTTTGCAATATGTCACTTGTTCATGTAATGTATGCAGAACATAAAGTGTGAAGGAGTTGCTGACAGACAAACCCTTAAAAGGCTCTTCGGTGGTTCAGTTCGGATCATAAAATCCCATTATGCTGGACAGGGTTCTTGAATTGAACTTTGAAGATTAAAGACCTTCTTGATGTTACATTATACGTTCTTCAGTTCAATGCATTGCTTTGGGGTTGTTTTACATAAAATTCCTTGTTTAAAGTTCTGTGTAGAACTTAAAAATGGTGTTTGCCTTTGCAAAACATGCCAGTGAGATGCCAGGC